GGTAGCTGACAATGGAAACTTTAGAACCTTAACTACATCACACATTAATTGTTTTTAGCAATTTTTAATAAATTCCATTTTAACTTTTAGTTTAAAATTATTCTAGAAACATTTCACAACAAAAACTTCGTTCTTATCTAGCTTTTATTCTTCTTGGATGTAGAAAATGAAGTAACGGTAGCCAACTACAGCTTTCCGCACTCAATATTGGCCCAACGATTCATCATACAAATACATGACAATATGTGATGTCACCATTTGAAAATATCAAAAATTAGGCATCTTCCCCCGAATCACTATGCATTGCAGTCAAACCAGTTTTTAGTTAGGATGCGTTTTAACTAGTTAAAATTAGTTTATACTGGATGTCTTTGTTAAAACCTGTTCTGTCTACTTAAAACTAGAATTTACTGCTAGTCAAAAATGAATTTGAGTTAAAACTAGTTTTAACTAGACAAAACAGGTTTTAACAAAGACATTCAGTAAAAACTAGTTTTAACTAGTTAAAACGCGTTCTAACTAAAAATGGGTTTTGACTGTAACATATATATATATACTAGCTGTTACCCACGACTTCGCCCGTGGAGGTTTTGGAAGCAAACCCCATTTACATTCAGTATTTCAACAACCATAGTAATTGTTATAATAACACCTACTGCTGAGAATGATGAGAATTGCCAAGAATCAAACGAATATTTTCAATTTGATTTTCCGTTTTTTGAAACGTTTACAATTGTTCTATAATCGAATATGCAATATAATGCAATGACAAATTCAAATATAAAACGGTTTGAACATTTTTAAAATCGAAATAGATAAAAATATTTATAACAATGTCTGAAATGTTATTAATTTAATACACCTAAGTATTCGATGAAGATTAAATCCTCTCCCTCTCCCCCATGGGAGAATTTCGAAAAATCCCTTCTTAGTGTGCATTCCCATGGCATACCCTACTAAAACGCAGATAAAAACAAAATATTGCATCTAAAATAGTACAGTAGAAGCTGTTCTTCCGGTTAAGCCTTAATCCTCTCCTTCTCCCCCCCGCCTAGGAATTTCAAAAAATCCCTTTCTTAGTGCGCGTTTTTATGACGTATCCTAACCGTGTACCAAATTTCACCTCTTTAGGTTCAGTGGTTTGCTCTGGGCAATGATGAATCAGTCAGTCA